TTATATCTTTTCTGTTTTCTAGATTTATGAAAAATAAATTTTATGTATTATCCAATAATCCTTTAAGTTTCACTAGAGTCTGTCTAACAACCACTTTGTCATCTAATTTTATCAGTTCTGGTGTCTTTTGTTTGTTTAGTTTGGTTAGGGATTTATCCATCTTGTATATCTTTTCAAAGAACCAGTAAGAAAAATGTATTTTCCCTATTGGTTGAATTGGATATTTTGTAGGAATATACTAAATTCAGTGAATCTACAGTGAATCTGTAATCTAAATTGTAATTTCACTATAAAGTTTCTTTCCTAATTGTTAGTTTGGATGACCTATCTATAAATGTCCTTCCATTTGAATCCATTCTTAAATTATTTTATCAATGAGATTAAGAATCATAAAGGAAGACCCTGTTTTCCCTTTTATCAATTGTGTGAGTACCTACCTGACTATGCCTTTTAGGCTCGGTTTATGAAAGTGGGAACCCTGTGATTCCATGCATAAGGATGTTCAATTTTTACATTTTCTGGATGAATCATTCACTTAATTAATATGTAGTACCTTTATTTATCTCTCTTGACTCATTTTGAAGTCTACATTATCAAATACAAGAATTGCATGCTAGCTTTTTTATAGCTCCAGTTTCTGGAGATTGATCCCACCCTTGACTCTTAATTTTTTAATATCTTTGCCAGAGAGGTGGATGGAGAACCTGAAAGAGAGACCAAACCCAGGTGGCTCTGCAAGAGCAACAGTATACTCCCTCTCCCTCTCCTAACTCTAATCCCAATACTTTCTCCACATTCTTCTCCCCTCGGTCTCCCTTGTCCTAGTCCTTAATTTGGAGTGAGTATACTATGTGGATGTAGAAATGTAGGAAAGGGGCTGGAGAGATGGGCTAATTGTTGCTCTTGCAGAAGACCTGGGTTTGGTCCTAGCACCCACATGGAAACTCTCAACTGCCTTTACTCCAATTCCAGGGGATCTACATGCTCTTTTCTCTTCCATGGGTACCCGTTATTATGCCCTTAGTCATTGTTTCTTCATCTTTGAGATGGTGTGCTTTCTCCCTTCAATTGTCATCTTGCTTCTGGTTATGTAGGAAGATAAATTTTTATTAGAGGCTTCCTCTGGCTGAGGCATGCTCATTTGGGTACATTTTTGACCATAAAGAAGGATCTCTACGGGTTCTACAGCACACTTCTGGAGATCCTATGTGGGTGGCCCAGCAACGTGTGGGTGGTATGGGGTGGAGAAATGCTGCCATTCTCTCTGGCACTTATCATTGGGTCTCTCAGGTTCCTCATCCACACTTTGACAAGTCATCCTAGTGTCTACCAGGCTCCAGTCTGCTCTCTGTGCACACCTTCTCCAGCCATTGCTTCCTTTACTATGGTTGGATTTCTTTCCCGCTCTCTTGTGAGCATTTTTTCATTTTTTTAACCTATCATTGTGTAGATTGCTGCAAATGGGTATTGTTGAGAGATGGCTCAGCAGTTAAGAGCACACCTTGTTGTGAACTGGAGTTCAGTAACCAGCACACACATTGGGCAGCTCACAACCTACTTTAACTCCAGCTCCAGGTTATCCATCAACCTCTTCTGGCCTCTGTCAGCACTGCAGTCAATATGTACATACCCATAAAGAGATATACACATATACACATAAATAAAAATAAAATATTTAAGAAACATGTTGCAAATAAACTGGATGTGCTTTCACTTTTTTATTTGCGAACTCTGGATTTGTCTGCCTAGCATATCATCCAATTTCACTGCACTGTCCTGACTGATGTGGCATTCTCATTTGTTTTGATATTAGGTGCATGAATCTATCAGTCTTGATTCTTATTTTCAGAATGTTGTCTGGGTTTTTTTTTATATCTCTGATGATTTTATCTCAAAATTTTCATTCAAGTACCAAGTGAGAATTTTTCAGATCTAGTCGTGGATCCTCTAATTTTTCATTTCACTTCTATCAGTTTTGTGTATTTAATTTGGAGCTCAATTAACAGGAATTCATTTGTTTTTATTATTGCCATCTTAGTAGAGTTCTTAAATCATTATGTAATAGACAATTCTATCCTTGGTAAGTTTTTCTTTGTGGTCTGCTTTGATACTATTACTGCCGCCATGGCTCTCTTTTAATTATACTTCATATTTAAGAAGGATATGTTAATAATAGCATACATTTCATGTATTCAGAATTTAAAAGTCCTACTTGAAAATATATTTTTTATTTTGTGTCTTTATATTTGGTGGAATCTTTGTGATTGTAATGCACCCATGTTGTGCAGTGCCCAAAGAGGGTCAGAAAAGGGCATCAGAGTCCCCTGGAACCAAAGTTAAGGAGAGTTGTTAGCTATCATGTGGGTACTAAGAATTCAATCTGGATCCTCTGAAAAAGCAGTACATTTAACATCTGAGCCATTTATCCAGTCCCATTGTTTACTCTTAAACAACTTTATTTCTTACTCCTGCTCTCTGCCAGCCATTGGATCATGTGAATATATTTTTGCAACCATTTTAAAATTTTCCTATTGTAATTTTAGCTATCCTCCTTTCTCATTTCTTTTATTTTTTATCTTTTTTGAGTTGAGTCTAGCTGTGTTACTCAGGCTGCCCATTGAACCCCTAGACTTAAAGAATTCTTCCTTCTCAACCTCCCAAGTAACAATGATTATAAATGTGCAACCCTGTGTCCAGCATGAATACTTCATAGTCTTAGCAACGATTTATTATTCTAGGGGTGGCAAAATCTGTTCTTTGATTCATTCACTTATTTATTTATTATTTTGTGTGTGTGTGTGTGTGTGTGTGTGTGTGTGTTCATGTGCATACATGCCACAGTGCACTTGTACTGATCAGAGGACAGCTTGCAAGAATATTTTACTCCTTTAATCATGTGAGTTACCAGGGATAACTCAAGACAGTCAGGCTTAGTAGCAAGCCCCTGTAATCACTGAATCATCTTGCTGACCCTGTTCCTTTTACATATTATACATTACATAAACTCAATAGTTGACTCTAAATTGTATGAAGACATTGTTTCTAAGCAAAGAGACAGTTATATTTACGAAGCTTTTAAAAACAAGAGGTATCTACAGCATTTCTGTTGCCAAGACACAAAGATACAGGTGGTTTGGGAATTGGAGACAGCTAACTGCTTTACAGATGATTGATATGTTTTATTTGTGTGTAGATTTCTACACATGCATGTGTGTTTTAAGTTGAAAACTTCATAGCATTTTCTAAAATTGAAAGTGTCAATGTGACAAAACAACATACCACGTCAGTAGCACCTGTCAGTTCTTACACATTGTTCCTCATGCAAACACCATTTTGATCAGCTGCTTTTCAAATTCTTCTGAAACGCAACACTCTCTTTTCTTTCATTTTTTAAAAACTGTGATTTATCAGCTAGAGAGGAGCATATAGCACTGGCCTAGCAAAATGGGTTTGCACTCGCTTTACCAGTACTACCTAGCTAATACTGCACACGAAGCTGAGGTTTCTGCAATCAGGCGTTTCATCGTTAACATAGATGGAGTTTAACAGCTGTAGCACTTGCTAGAAGTTTGGAATTCTGAGGCAAACACAATATGCTCTGGAATGGTCTAGCAACATGAAAAAATTATACAATACTGGAAAAGAACTAGTCAGTGACATGTTAAGAAATTGTCAGAAATACTACAGAAAGCCCTAGTTCAAGGATATAAATAAAAATTAGCTTCTTTTTCCTCCAAATGATTTTAAGGAAAAGAGAAGCCTGTTTATTGTTGGAAGATGAGAACTTAAATTACCTATAATGTAGCAGCTAGACTATTAAGAAGACTTTACCTTGAAGGCTAGGGAGATTACCCAGTGGGTAAAGCTCTTGCCTCAAAACATGGAAGAACTGAGTTCAGATTCTTAGAACTCATATAAAACTGATTATGGTAGCATGCATGTCTAATCTGAGAACTCCTACAGTTGGAGGGGAGGTAGAGACAGGGAAATTCCTGGAAGCTCATGGGCCAGAATGGCTGGAAGTTGCAGCTCCAACAAGTCAACCTGCCTCATACCAGGTGGAAGGTTAGGACCAACAGCTGAGTTTATCTTCGTACCTTTACATGCACACATGGCGCAGAGAGAGAGAGAGAGAGAGAGAGAGAGAGAGAGAGAGAGAGAGAGAGAGAAATTTAATAAGTTGAATGATCTATAAAATAAAATGAAACTATTAGGTAACATAAATGTTATTTTTCAGATAGTTGATTTTTAAGATAAAACAATATTTAAGAAAAATCAGGCCAATGCAAAGTACATTGTAGACACTGGTAATATTAAATGAAGTTACAGTTCTTCTTAAGCATAATTTCATACATTTGTACAATGACTTTGCTCTCCCTTGCCTGCTGGAACTAGCTACTCAACAAGTCCCCTCTTACTTTCATTTTCTTGTGATCCAATGAGTGGGAAATTATGCACCAGGGCAAGCGCAGCATAGCAGTTAGTAGTCACCCCACACAAGACAATGACACCCCTCCCCAACCATCAAGGACTGCCAAAATTCCCTCAGAGAGTGTTGGGACCTCATTGACTCCTCCCCTACCCCTGATGAATTGATTACTGACTCAATCTTGTGTACACGTGGTACAGATAAGCTCATTGAGATCTCTGTAGTATCAAAATAGTGTTAGGATGTGGGCCAGGCATAGTGATACACACCTTTAATTGCAGCACTTGGGAGGCAGAGGCAGGTGAATCTCATAGGGATCCAGGCCAGCCTGGTCTACATATGGAGTTCCAGGCCAGCTGGGCCTACAGGGAGACCCTGTCTCAAAACCAAACCAAACCAAACCAAACAAACAAATAAAAATAACAGCATTAGGATTAGTAATAATACACAGTATTATTATTTCATACTACATATTAATAATCTACAGTATTATCACTTTTTTATTTTTCATTGAATTTGAAGTTATTAAAATAAAGACATTATATTGAAATTATTTGCTTTGTTTTTATAGGCTACATTATTTGAAAATATAGGTCTTATGAAGTATGAAGAATTATTTTTCACTTTATCAACATGTTTCCTTACAAAACAAGTTTCAGATGACAACATTACAGTGATTGACACAGACTTTAGTAACATTCCTGTTCGTCTATACTTGCCCAAAAGGAAGTCTGAAAGACATAGACGAGCAATAATTTTCTTTCATGGTGGTGCCTTCGTGCTTGGAAGTTGCAGTAAGTATAATTTTTAATCTGTGTCATACATTATAGTGTGTGCTGATTACAGTACCTGATGCAGTAGCAGAAATTAAAATGATTTATAAAGTTGTTAAATAACAAAATTTAAATTTAATTAAAATTAACATACTTCTGTTCAGAAAGGTAACTTAAGGTTTACTTATACATTTAAAAAACATGAATAAATATATCTAAGCTTTTGGCAAGGGAAAAGCTTAGTTGTTTTA